CGATGTTGCAAAAAAGCAAAATTGAGAATCGAAAAACGGCTTCCTAATGTCATGTTTTTTTTTTATCTTCTTTCATTTGACACCAAAATCATTTAAATCGGATGAGCCATTATGTCCGAATAAAAATCGAATCATTTCAGAAAAATCAAAATGGCGGCCAAAGTTTCATTTCTGTTCCGGATTTTTTTTTCTTCGTTTTTTTGTCATAACTTTGTCTACCTATCAGCATAAAATTTTTTGTCTTATACAAATTACACCGGAAGATATTCAACCGGAAGTGAACATCGATTTCCTGTTTAAACCGGAAGTGAAATTGAAAATTTGACTGTACCGTTTTGTTTACTTTCTTAAACTGTCTTTGCTCAATTTTTTTCAGATTAATCAGACAAAAAGCAAAAAAAATGAAAAAAATGCAAAATTTGGCAAAAAAAATGTCTGCGACAAATTTTCGAATTTTGAAATTTTGAAACGGCTATTCTTTCAGATTTTAACAGTAGATTCCAAAAATGCAAACCCAAAGAAAATCGACCGGAAAATACGACTTCTAGAGCCGATTATCTATTCTTGCACATATTGAACTGTGGCACTTCCGGTTTTGCAAAAAAGATCCAAAATATATTTATGCACATCGTCGCCTATATCTAAGGTTCGTGAACGTTGAAAGGTTGCTGCAACTATTGTAGTCTAAGCTCAGGAAGGTGTGTAAAAATCGAAAAAAAAAAAAAAAAAAGAATTGACATTTCGATAACAAACTGGGACTTTGCCGTAGCAAAGTCCCACAATAATTACCTCAAGATATCAACAGTTATGACAGTCCAAAACTGTATATCTAACATATTATGTCAAAGCCAATATATAGTATACTCCTTTTATGTCTCTTATAACGAAGCAGAAGATAATCTTTGGAAATTGAGTACAAAACTAAAAATCTGGTTCCTACAAATCACTTACTTTGCCTGGAATTGTCTTTGGTAAGAACTGAGAAACTGATGTGAATGGGAAATCATCGGATTTCTTTGGTTGTAAGAAATAATGAGTAAAATAACCATAATAAAGAATAACATATATCAACACAGATAACACCTGAAATATCAATAATATATCATAATATATCACTCATCTAGGACCACCATAGATAGAATAAGGGAAACTTGTCCCTGTTTACTCAGTCTAATGATGGATTTTTCATTTCCATCCAAATAATGTGTAAAGAAAGAATCAATTGTGAACACTAGTATAATTGAAATGAACAATAGTAATTAATTGCCAAGAACAACTTTTTGCAAAATGTCCATGTTGTAAATCTTCTTAATAATCCTGCTTATGAATGAGTATAGACAAATTTATGTAGAAACATTTGAATATAGATACATTTAAATAGGAAACCTACCTGTGCCAAACAAAAATTGATAATTCCAAATTTAGGAAAATAAATAACCATAATTATTGTAAATAAACACTTAAAACCTTGAGATAATCCATAGAATAACACCTGAAATCAATTAGAAAATAGTTTAAGTCAAGCCTTTCCGTACAATAAGTCAACAGATTTCTTGATTTCATCACTTATTCAAACATTTTTGTCTGAAACATGAATCTGTTTTCTACCCAGTGTTTTGTAGATATTTCTGTATGGATTTATATTTTGTATTCTCAGGATTCAAACTTATGACACCTTAAGTTGTCCTCACACCATAGCGATTACCAGTTGCTTATGGTTGAGAATAAGAATAGTTGTCAAACTGAGCTGTGAGTTGCGTTCAGAACTAATGACCATTCAGTTTTTACAACCATACGCATCTGGTTATCGCTATTGTGTGGGCACCTTTACAGATTTATCCAACTTGCTGCTTACTAAACTGCTAACATTAATAAGAACCACCAAACAAACCTTCAATTTTACAAACATAAAACTTTGCCCAACAATGACTAATGGTTCAGCAAGTATCTCTACCAGAGTTGAGAAGGCAAAAGCAATAACACCAATATTATAGTAAGGTATAATATTAGGATCTGGAATTTCTAATAAATAAATCCAAATAAAACTTCCACATGTACAACATATAAATCCTACCGGAACACTGAAAAGAAAATGAAAGATTTTCAAACATTTGTTATTCAAAGTCGGGTATTTTATGAACTTTTTGTTTTCAAATGTATCAAGAAAATCTAAAGCCAATCTCTAAGATTCTTCTAGAATTTGATGGTCATCTCCAGTCAAAAGAAGCATCAGATGAATAAGAATTTCAAACAATAATTGAAGATAAATTACTTACGCACACCACATCAGATTAATAATTTGCTGCCAATTTTTATTTTCTGACTGACTTAGACATGCTTTATTAAATGCCTCTTTGGCAAGAAACAGTATAGTTGAATATAACAAGGTTAATCTGGAAAAAATTTCAGTTAATACAATAAAAAACAGTAGTAGAAGGAAGGCCTAGAGGTATATTAAGATTTTGGCTTGGATTGATGTCTTCATTTACGTAATTTTAAAATCACTAATAGAAACACACTCGAGGTCCTACAATTGATTTATTGAGAGCTATTTTAACACTGAAAATATCTTCTTGTTGTTATTCAACATCAAAAATAAAAATAAACAAATTCCTACCTTACATTGACAACACCAAGTAAATCTCTAGATATATATCTTAATGCAAAGGCATTCAAGAAGAATGTTATTATTCTTAGAGAAAACTGAAAGTAAAATAGATAAATGATTAAAAATAGTTCTCTAATTTTCATTTTTTTCCCAATTATGATGCTCTATTTATAGTATATGTAGGTCTTGTTGTTTTAAGATTCAGATTAGACTTACTTGGAGAATTATGTTATAAGTAGCAGATTTGGCTACACCAGCCAATAAATCAGACTTTTTCATCTTGATTATAAACTAAACCCTGTAACAAGAAAAGCACACATCATTTGACTTTTCTTCTAGTTTAAAGTAAACTTTCCAGACATGTCAACTTGCAGATTTTTTAGGTATTTGTATCATTCAAGGAACAGTTTTGATTATGATCAGATAGTGTAAAGCAAACTCTTAATCTTTCTTAAGAACATATCCTAATTTTAAATAAATATAATTCACAGCTTCAGCGGAATCAGGCCAAAGTAAAAAACCTAACCCAGCCAATAGAATTGTACAAAATTAATGGTCTAATCAGGGGCTGTTGTTTACATACGTTTGATTATGGTATAAGGTTTTTTATAAGAGATATCAGTACTCTCTTAAAGAAGCACTAGCCTAGTATGATCAAATACCATTGATTATGGAATTAGGAGTTGAGAGGCGACACCGGATTGGCACTGACACAGGCATCAGAACTTTCCTTATCTTGAGGAGGATTTGAACGCCTAGCAGACGACAATCCATCTTGCTACCCTGAGCAATTTCACTGCCACATAAAGACAGTGTACCAAACCCAGCGTTAAAGGGAAGTATTGATGTTTACAAAGTTGTTGACTCCTTCAAGGATATATTCATAAATCCTGACACAGGCATGGTATAATGTTTTATAAGAGATGCTCTCTAATAATTAATAGAAGCAGTGGCCTAGTATGATAAAATCGACTCCCCTCCCCCCCCCCCCCCCTCCCATTATTTCATCTGAACAAAAATAAGCCCAATTCCAAAACCTGTCCAGTATTTTTTAATTATTTATTTTATTTATTAATTTATTGATAATATAGGATACGTTGATTCCCTACAGAAAACTGATACATGTACTATCCGCGAGGAACAAATCATTAATCAACTATACATGTTATCATAAAGCCAAACTGTGCCATTGGGCCATCTTTAATTCATCTAGAACGAAACGCATACTTATGAAAATAAAAGAAAATGAATCTAAATCAAGAATTCTACGTATACAGAGGGTCAGTAAATGAACTAAAAATTACAAAAAGGAAAATGTTTCATTTCATTCAAATTATGTACGTCTATAAAAGCGTGTTACGTGTTGTTATTTCATTTGTGGTTGTAAATTTGTACGCAGTTAAATAAGGGGTTTTCAAAGTTTCTAAGTTTCTAGGTTTACCAGACATTTTAAAAGTCTGGTTAATCATATCTTCAGTTATCTTCCCGCGGGATTGGAAGTCTGCGATTCCACAGGTTTAAAAGAGGACGAAAAGGGAGCCATCGGCTGATAAAATTTTATCTATAGGCTATTCTCTGTTATAATGCCAAGAGGGAGGTCTTCAACAAAGTTCTCTGTAAGAGTTATTTGACTGATGATAGGCTAGGCTATAATGGATTGTATGGAAATGATTCAAAAACCTCTTTCCTTTTATTCAAATCACACCAAAAAAAAGTTGCACTGCACCTGGTAATGGCAAAAATTCTCTGAGTCAATGTACACTTCTTGTGACTTAGGTCAATACTTCTATAGTAGAGTATGACCAAATACGGATTTTAGTCTTGCATATATGTAAAAAGTCTTCACACTAGCTAGGGTTTATACTCACTGCTTCTATGTCTTTTCTACATATTGATATATCATTTTTTTTTATAATTTATTTTAATTATTTCAGGATGAAGGCCCATCAAGTTCACAAGGACAATCAAGTCAACAGAGTCAAGCTGCCCAATCACAAGTTTCATTAACTCAGGCAGAAAAAGCTGCATCGAAATTAGATCAAAAGGAATTGGAACTGAAGGTGATAATAATAAAATTACCACTTCTATTTATTACATTTTTCAAATATTATATTTTTATATACAAACTGTTCAAAAATATGTCTAGTAATCAATTTTATGATATATGAAAGTGTGATCATATTGTCAATATTTTTTGAATATCCTTTTTCATTTTTGTCCACATATAGTCTTAGTTAGTGCAGAACAATGTTGATTGTTTGGTACTTGGTAGAAACATCTCTTTATTCGACATGAAAGATTTGCGAAAATATTTAAGGGCAAAAGTACAATACTTGTCAGATTTGTCTGTCAGAGAAGTAGTATTCTCACGATCAGTTGGGCATTAAGAAAGCCAAGAACCACTCAGTTTCCCTCTAACTGCAGAATATATCTAATCTATCTAAATATTCAAAAACAGTCCTTGTTTTTTTAACAAAAATTCTTTTATGTCTATGAAATAAATATTTGAAAATATAAGCTTACCCCGATAGTTGGTACTTGCAAAAATAGTTAACTTGAAATCATGTCATTAATAACAAATTATTACAGGTTAATGACCTGGTCCAGTATTTACTCATAATGGATCAGAAAAAATATCCCATTAAAAAACTAGGTAAGTTTGTTTCATTTTGTTATGTAGAATGTATAGAAGGAATTTACACAGCTATTCATAGTTATTCATATTATCAATTGATTGACTACCTATAGGAAATGATAAAGCTCGAATTCAACTATCTGTGGTACTTTACAGAATTTAAATCTGATATTTAATTCTTTTGCAATTCACAAAAATCTAAAGTGGAGGTTTATTGTCACTAGTTGGAAGTTGCATTCTCAAGGGAAGTAATGTCAGAAGTTGTCATGGTAGTGTTTATAATTTACATGTTGGAATAGAAATAAAAAAGCAAGATGATGTATATTTTTGTAGAATTGCAGGGAAATTATGTAACTTTGTGGGAAAGATAATTTTGCGACCACTACATCCCTTTAGGCCAAAAATGTTAGAAGTGTTTCATTGACAGAGCATTTCAAATTTATAAATTTAATGATGCCTAAATAAATTTTGTTCCAGATATAAATAAAATTGTACTGAAAGATACAAGTAAGGCTTTTCCCCTTGTAATGAAAAGGGCATCAGAAAAACTGTCAGAGGTAAAATACTTCACTTCACTATTAGTGTAAGAATAATTCATTGAAAAATCTATGGATAAGCCAAGAAATAAAGAATTGTATTACATAATTAATATAACATGATATACAGAGGATTGTAAAAAACCATTTAGTTATAATATTGTAGATATTGATGTATATGATGATTGTATTAAATCATTTAGCTGTGTCACTCTATATCATGTAAATGTATATGATGATTGTAACAAATCATTTAGTTATAATATTTTAATTGTAGATATTAATGTATATGATGATTGTATTAAATCATTTAGCTGTGTCACCCTATATCATTTAAATGTATATGATGATTGTAACAAATCATTTAGTTATAATATTTTAATTGTAGATATTAATGTATATGATGATTGTATAAAATCATTTAGCTATGTCACTCTATATCATGTAAATGTATATGATGATTGTAACAAATCATTTAGTTATAATATTCTAATTGTAGATATTGATGTATATGATGATTGTATAAAATCATTTAGCTTTGTCACTCTATATCATGTAAATGTACATGATGATTGTAACAAATCATTTAGTTATAATATTTTAATTGTAGATATTGATGTATATGATGATTGTATTAAATCATTTAGCTTTGTCACTCTATATCATGTAAATGTATATGATGATTGTAACAAATCATTTAGTTATGATATTCTAATTGTAGATATTAATGTATATGATGATTGTATAAAATCATTTAGCTTTGTCACTCTATATCATGTAAATGTATATGATGATTGTAACAAATCATTTAGTTATAATATTCTAATTGTAGATATTGATGTATATGATGATTGTATAAAATCATTTAGCTTTGTCACTCTATATCATGTAAATGTACATGATGATTGTAACAAATCATTTAGTTATAATATTTTAATTGTAGATATTGATGTATATGATGATTGTATAAATCATTAAGCTATGTCACTCTAACTCACGTAAATGTATTTGATGACTGTAAAAAATCATTTAGTTATAATATTTTAAATGTAGAAATTGGTATATCGGTATTTGTTGACTGTAAAAGATCATTTAGCTATAATCTTCTATATTGTAGATATTGAGGTTGATGATGAATGTAGTAAATCATATAGCTATATCATTTGATATTGTGTATTGATGTATATGGTGATGCATGTAGTTGTATATCATTCTATATTAGATATTGATGTATATGATGATAGTTGTATATCATTCTATATAAGATATTGATGTATTTGATGATAGTTGTATATCATTCTATATTAGATATTGATGTATATGATAATAGTTGTATATCATTCTATATAAGATATTGATGTATATGATGATAGTTGTATATCATTCTATATTAGATATTGATGTATATGATGATAGTTGTATATCATTCTATATTAGATATTGATGTATATGATGATAGTTGTATATCATCCTATATTAGATATTGATGTATATGATAATAGTTGTATATCATTCTATATAAGATATTGATGTATATGATGATAGTTGAATATCATTCTATATTAGATATTGATGTATATGATGATAGTTGTATATCATTCTATATTAGATACTGATGTATATGATGATAGTTGAATATCATTCTATATAAGATATTGATGTATATGATGATAGTTGAATATCATTCTATATTAGATATTGATGTATATGATGATAGTTGTATATCATTCTATATAAGATATTGATGTATATGATGATAGTTGTATATCATTCTATATTAGATATTGATGTATATGATGATAGTTGTATATCATTCTATATTAGATACTGATGTATATGATGATAGTTGTAAATTAATTATACGCCCACAAGTAAGTATAGTGTAGCATGTAGACTTGCCGCAAGCCTATGTTTTGCTTTATTTTGTAGGTATTTGGTATTGATGTAGTAGAATTACAAGATAAACACAAGGGAAGTTATATATTGGTCAGTAAATATGAAAATGATGTTGAGAAACCTCATATCTTATGGTAAGTATTTTTCATACACTTCAATGTCTGTCTGTCCATCCGTCGCCTGCGCAATCACCTTCATAAAAACTGTAGAATGTAGATATTTATTGACCTGGTCATCCCTGGTTCGTCTGTCCACATTTCTTGCAGACACGATAGGGGCTACAATTTTTACATGATGTTAATGAAACATGTTATGCATGTATGTATTCATGAGGTCTTGGTCAAGCTAGAAATTGGTAATATTCGGATGAACAGTTTCAGAGTTATTGCTGTTGTGTATACATCAATGAGACCTTGTTCATGTTTTTATTTGGTTATAATTTGATGAATTGTTTTGTTACCTTGCCTAGCCAGTTTCCTTTATCTGAATTTGACTCTTGAACTCTTATGTGCTTAATGTAATTAAGATCAAGTTCAAATTTTGGTAATATATAATAAACGAAATAATGGCATCTTTTTTAATTTCCATCCCATCAGGATGATGTGTATTCAGACGTGCGTTACATGTTGTTTTAAATCTTCGATAATTAATAATGGACCAGGTCGGTATGATACGGTGGTTCATATAGGACATCATTATAAAACTGGAATATTATTATAAAACATAATTTTGAATTAAAAACTTGAATTTCCACCTGGGTGAAAATTAATTTTCACCCAGGTGATAATTCTAGAATTTTGAATTAAAAACTTGAATTTCCACCCGGGTGAAAATTAATTTTCACCACTGTGAAAATTCCATAATATTGAATTATTTTTTTCCAATTTTCTTTTTTTTTGTTGGAAAAAGGTTAATGATTCTTTATGAAGTGGTTAGCTCGTAGTCACGTGTATTATACATAGCGGTATGGTCAAGATTGACTAAACACTAGACGTTTAATCTCTAATCACTTTTCTGTTCAAATATAAAATTGCTGCTAAAATTTTTTTTTCTTTAAAAAATAGACTTGAAATATATATATAAAATTCAAAAATTTTAATCTAATATTATTGAATTATCACCTGGGTGAAAACTAATTTCCTCCCAGGTGAAAATTTAAGTATTTGATTAACTATTATTGAATTATCACCTAGGTGAAAATTCAAGTTTTTAATTCAAAATTCTAGAATTATCACCTTGGTTAAATTTTAATTTTCACCTGGGTGGAAATTCAAGTTTTTAATTAAATATGATTGAATTATCACCTGAGTGAAAATTAATTTTCACCCGGGTGAAAATACTAGTTTTTAATTCAAAATTATGTTTTATAATTATATTCCAGTTTTTTAATTCAAAATTAAAAAAGTAAAACGATGTCGTACACAAGCCACCGTAGTATGAAGATTTATATACCCAATTATTATACTGATTTCACCAATTCCCAATACAGATTCATAATTCAAAGTTTTCAAGATATTAGTTGTTAGAATATTTAAAATATCTTTACTATTTCTAGGCCTGAAGAAGACAACTGTCATACTGGGTTATTAGTCATTATATTGAGTTTGATATTTATGAATAATAATGTCATGCAAGATTGTAAGTTTTCAAATCTTATTCACAGTGAATAACAACATTTTAGAAACTGAGAGCCATTACTAAGAATCAGTCCTGGAAATTATTTGTAAGTTCGGAAATAATTTTGGTGACCTCTATCAGTTTCAAGGTTTTGGTGTCTCCATTGATTCTTAACATGGTACAGAAAAGTAGGACGTAAAACTCCATTCATTTCATTTCCATTGATTCTTACCTCCTGTTCAGTGATATTCATAAAATAATTCCCTATTTTAATGACTAGATAACAATCATATATCCAAACAGACTATTGATTATTTTTTACATATATATTTTATTCCAGCTGAACTATGGCATACATTGAAGAAATTAGGTATTGATCCAGAGTAAGTTTAATTAATTGCTGGAATAACTCTTTGTTTTGTATTAGAGCATCAAGATTTGAGAATGGAAGGGGAATGAATTTCCTGAAATAAACCTAATTTCTGTCTCGATAATCTTATACCTGATGATACTGCATTTTTTTAAATTTTAGATTAATGCAAAAATGATTTGTCTAGAAATGTAAAGAAAGGTTTGAAGTGACAACAACCTTTTTGTCAAAGACATTATAAACAATCCTATATGCAGTTATTACAGATTGTAAAAGTACTGGTTTGCAATCTAGTTGAAAATTTTATTGTAACAGGTAATAAATGCATATGAGAATGTTTATAATGGTCTGAATATCTACTCTATCATTACATCTATACTTACACTTACTTTAGGTAGATCTTTTCATATTTTTCTATTGTAGAGTTCATCATGAAACATTTGGAGATGTGAAGAAATTAGTTACACAAGAATTTGTTAGACAGGCTTATTTAGAATATATCAAACAACCACAGACAGATCCTTTAGTTTATGACTTTAAATGGGGACAGAGGGCAAAGGCAGAAACATCCAAAAATAACATTCTTCATTTTGTCAGTGAGGTAGGAACAAAATCAGATCAGTAGAAATACAGTGAATTTATCACTTATCTCATCTAAATTGATAAATAATCCATTTAAGGTATAATTGGTATCTATCAGTATTTTCTTAAAGGATGTGAAGATGGTTTCTCAACTTTTTAGTTGTTGCTGGAACACTAATGGCATTGATTTGTGCTGCACCATTTCAATTTTTAGCAGAAAGTGATATTTGTCATTAAGCATTTCCATAATTACAGAAATCACAGATATCTAATTGAAAAATGGATGTAAATGAATTTCCCTGTATATGTAAAAAAAAAGCTAGAAAAGCTCCTTAAAATTCTTTAATATGTGAAATGTCCTTAAAATAATTATGATGCAGTTGTATTTATTGATACATTCAATGTATTATACTTTCTATTTAGATATATGACATAAGTGATCCACAACAATGGACAACACAATGGCAAGAAGTAGTAGATGAAGGAGCAGCCAATGAAGATGATGTCATGGAAGTAACTCAGAATAATTAAATGCTGCTATGATTAATAGAGATATATATGTCTTTTGCTAATTTGTGAAAGAAAGATCAAAATCTTAAGTTTCTTTAGTTTACTACACTTGCCATCTATGATCTAACGAGATTTTGTTGTAGATTGTTACAAGTGGTTAGGAGATACAAGTCAATGCTTAAAGGGATAGTCCACTTTTTTGTAAAAAGTTTTCATTATCAAAAACATCATAAAACATATCTAAAGTATGCTATTTATGTCTATATCTACTTGATCAAACTGAATTTGTTTTAAAACGGTTATTAAGCAGTTTGACCTAGTTTTTGTGTATGGCTTGATAATGGCTTGATATTGTTTGTTAAAATCTTTAGTATACGGAGGAGAGATATTTTTTGTTTATTTTACTCAAATCTGTACAGTAGTTTTCAAACAGCTTCTAAAACGCATAACAAACTTAAAAAATCTTACTATATGTTTTTGGCGTTTTATTAATGTCTGGATTTTTTTTAGTTAACTTTCAGATACATAAAGGGCATATTTCTTTTTTATTTTTTTCTACAAAAAATGTCCCTCTTACAATGAATATCCTAGAATTGAACATGGCATTTTATTGGTTGAATATTATACGAAACAGAACAGGATATGTAGAACAATTTTGTCAGATGATGAATGCAGAAAAAAACATTAAAAAAATCATTCAGATTTGCATTTTTCATTAAGGTGACACAAATTTAAATCAATCAGATTTTCTGCGTCCATTTTATGTATTTTCTTTGTTGTTTTCTCTTAGTCTTATACAGTAATTCTAAACATTTCATTATATGCAAAAGAAACAAGAGCTGCTAAGTAAATTAGACATGTATCACCCAATGATGAAACTGATCAAAATTGGAAAATACATAATAAGTGTTATTGCCCTTGTTTTTCAAAAAGATTTTCCCCTCCCCTGTAGTACATGTGCATATTCCACACTACTTTATTTTTTGTAGGCAATATTAGCTAGGCATTAGTTTCTGGAGCCATGTACAACTTTATTTCATTTTTGAACAGCCACATGTCGACGCTCCTATTTCTTGTAAGCAGGCTAAAAGATTCTTTTTTCATTCAATGTAGATATACAGAATGGGATCTTTAACAAGTTCGATATTGACAATGTTTCAATGAACGTTTTTTATACGCCCAGATGAAAATGGGGGATGTATATTGTCGTCACACACAATTGCTTGTAAAGCACAATTCTTGGATGATCATGACGAAACTTGGTATGATTGTTTTTAATGACCCAAGAATCAACCCTATTGAAAATCAGAAAAATAGAAAAACATTTAATATGAATTATCGCCCTTGTTCTTGAAATGCTCTTTAACACTCTAGAAGGTGCAATTCTTGGCGGATTTTGATGAAACTTGGTGTGAGTGTTTTTTTATCACTAAAGGATGAACTCTTTTGAAAATCAATAATCGAAAATATTAGTATGAGTTATTGCCTTTGTTCTTGAAAACGCGTTCAATTTTTAGCTTGTAAACACTCTAGAAGGTGCATTTATTGGCAGATTTTGACGAAACTTGATAATATTATACAGTATCGCCCCAAAAGTTAAAAAGAAGTGTATGTCTTCGTTTGAATATTACTGTACTGCGGAATATATTTATTTAAAATCAAAGCTGCCAGTAGGCGTATATTACCTTGTCTTGAAAGCCATCTTTATGTTCAAAGCTACTTTTTATACGCCCACATGAAAATGTGCACCTATATTGCTGTCGCCGATGTCCGTCCACATTTGTTGTATGTACGATAGAGGCTACAGCTTTTATCTGACTTCATGATACTTGGTATGCCTGTATATATCGATGAGATCTCAGTCAAGTTCAAAATTGGTTATAATCCGATGAATGGTTTCAGAGTTATTGCCTTTGACTTAGTAAGTAAAAATGCGTTAATTTGCCTTGTATGAAACTAAGCGTGTATGTATATAATGCTGAGATTTCGGTCAAGTTCGAAATTGGTAATGATTGAATGAATGATTTCAGGGTTACTGCCCTTGACTTAAAAAAAAAAAAACGTCGAATTTGGCCTTTAGGCACCCTAGAGATTAAGTTTTTATCCGATCTTGATGAAACTTGAAAATATATTGATGAGATCTCTGTCAATTTTGAATTTGGTCGTAATCGTATGAACAGTAATTGTGGAGTTACTAACATTGAAAAATGACAGTAAAAACGCTTCAAATTTGGCTTGTAGCCATGATACAGGGTGCAGTTTTTGATCACGATGAAACTTGGTATACATGTATATAGCCTAATTGATGAGATATCATGTTTAAAAATGGTAATAATTGGATGAATGGTTTTAGAGTTATTTATTGTCCTTGAATTAATTTAATGCGTCTTATTTGGCTTGTAGGCCTGATAGAGACTACATTTTTTATCTTGCCTTAATGAAACTGGAAATATGTTTCAGTAAAGTTTGAAATTAGTAATAATCGGACAATTGGTTTCACATATTAAACCACTACGGACATTGTTATCAGTTGATAGTGGGCGTATGTTACCTTGCCTGGCAAGCTATCTTTTTAATACGCATTACGTATATTGCTGGTGTAGATTACATTGCTTTCTCCAGTAACTTTTCTTACACCTAATCAAAGAGTAATAGTGCAATGAAGTGAGTATATCCAGTTGTACATGATATATTGTGTATATTACACAACGGGATTATAATCACTGTTCATGATCAGCGCCATAAGAGATTAATACAATTAGGCGAGATAACTCGTGCAATGGCAACCCTAAGTAAGATTTGTTTATTATGGCAACCGCAAATAATAGAATGTCAATCATTTAGTTATCGACTTTTTATTGTGTAGATCTTTCTTACAGTTGAACACTAATATAAACTATATTTAGTAAAATGGCTACCAACGGCGGAATACGTTATTGGATTAAAGAAAGCATCAAAGATCGAATTTTCGAAGATGAATACAGCCAAGGCAAGGACTTAGGGCAAGGTTCCACAGCTAGTGTGCACAAATGCCAACACAAAGGAACTGGTCAATTTTGGGCGGCTAAAATAATTCGAAAAAATGTGCAGAAGAAAATAGTTTTAACCGAAATTGGAATATTGTTAAAAATCCGTCATCCAAATGTAGTGCGTCTGAAGGAAGTTTTCGAGACAGAGGATCGAATCATAATGATTTTGGAATTGGTAACCGGTGGAGAACTCTTTGATCGTATCGTCACTACTGGACATTATTCCGAGAAAGATGCAGCTAAGGCGGTTCTTGATATCTTGACAGCCGTCGACCACCTTCACGATAACGGAGTGGTTCATCGGGACCTAAAGCCAGAAAATATCCTTTATGCAGATTTGAAAGGAAACTCTCCTTTAAAAGTTGCTGATTTTGGACTTTCTCAAATCATTGAACCCGAAGTGAAAATGAGCACAATTTGCGGTACCCCTGGGTACTGCGCTCCGGAGATTCTTTCAGGAAAGAAATATGAAAAGACAGTGGATATATGGAGCGTGGGTGTTATAACCTACATCTTACTCAGTGGTTACGAGCCTTTCTATGAAGATAATGAAAAGAAAATGTACAAAAGGATAATAAAAGGGGAATATTCTTTTCCTTCCCCAATATGGGATAATGTAAGTGAAAATGCTAAAGATCTAATACGGAAAATGCTTCATATGGATTCTAAAAAGAGATTAACAGCTAAACAGGCATTGAAGCATCCTTGGGTTAGAGGTATTGCAGCTAAAGCAGAGCACATGGAAGGAGCAATAGAGCAGATAAAGGAGTTCAATGCCAAAAGAAAGTTAAAACAGGCAACAGAAGCTGTTATGGCTGTTTCTAAAGTCACGCAACACATACCATTAGATTTGTTTTCAGCCATGCTTTCCGAGAACCGACAGAATGGTCAGATAGAAGGTCTGATAGTTGATGCTGGCTGTATAGTAACTGGTCAGGTAGATAGTGCAGCTGTTGCTCAGTGATGTGAAAGACACTGTTCCTATGATCAGCAACCCAGCTGTCAAATTTTGTCTGTTTGTGATCTTAGGTTAAAACGAATTGGAGAGAAATCTTAAACTTTTATTTCTATATTTTATTATATTTATTCTTTTTTTATGTTACATTGAACAAGATTTTTTATTCCAGTAATACTGCACCCACTAAGTCTTAAATAACAAAAATAAATGTAGGCATAAAAAAAATTTTACACACTTCATGCCGACAAGTATGCCACAAAATGTTAGGCCTACTGAAAACTAAAATAGCTGTTCAAGGCTCCAAATTTACTTCAGTACATTATTTTTAAGACCCGTTGTATTTTTGAACGCCGAGGAATATATTTAATTCCCATCTATTCAGGAATTTTGAACACCTTTCCTTCATGGTTTTGAATGTAATATTTGAAATAGTGTTTTGTTATGTGTATAGGTGTTCCTAAAATGTTAAATGTTTGTTAAAATCTTGTTTGTTTATTATTTTAAATTATATAGTACAATTAAAAAATATACATATTATTGAAAATGTCTCTCCATAAAATTGCCGAGAAGAAAATATTACGCGTATAACTTTCGTGTGACACCAGCAAATATGTGCGGTCGCATAAGAATAGTACGTAAACAAGCGTTTACCATGCATGGAACCATGCAGGCATTAGACCTTTTCCGTGTTTTATTACGTAGCACGCTCCGTTTTACAAAACAAATTCATCTATGTTATATAATATTATATATTATATGTAATACATAGATATTAATTGCATAGGCTACTTTAGAAGACTTTTTTTTTTATAATTTACAATGTTTTTAATAATAAAAATCTTGCATATTATGGACTCACTCCACTAATTCATTTGCCATCTCTTCCCATGTTAAAACACGAAATTCAACCTTCTATAACTTTTTCCAGAAATCTCGTTGAAAGCTTTCCAATATATCGAATGAAAGCCTGACCAATTCTCAATGTCTCCTAAAAAATTCATTATATGATGACCATGAAAATTTTGAGCTACTAAAATTGAAAGTAGACTACTACCGGTTATACTCATCCACTAGAGTTTGGCACTTCACAAAACGACTATTTTTAGAATTAGCCTTCCGCCTTTAAGTCTCTCATCATCTCACAAAATCTGAAAGATAATGCAATTTCAGACATCAAATTCCAAATCTAGACCAAATTTTACCCCAAAATAGGCAGGCAAAAACCCCAAAAGGGAGAGAGAAAGAAGATTTCTAAAAATAGCATGGACTACATTCTCATTTGCATAAAATGTTTTAGTGGAGTGAGTCCTTATTGCCCCTTTAACGTAGATTCAGTTACGGAAATTGCCGAAAGTTGCCGAATGCTTACATGTTGTCGCGTTGCCCTAATAACCAAGTCTATTTCCTGTTGAATCAAGTTGTCTTCCCTTATCAACATCCGCAATGGTGTACGTGTCAGAAGGTAGTAATTTTGATCTTTTTTCAGTGTTTTATTACAAGAAGGAAAATATCAAGCCTTATTTTTCAAGAAAAGATGACTGTCGAATCTGTGTATAGATTTATCTCAATACAAATATCAAAAGACAGCTCACTTCGCAATTACTTTCCCATGTCTACTGCTTCACGACTTCAGGCCACACTTGACTTTCACTCTAACTACACTGTTTCAGAATTAAATTTTGGCAATTATTTTCACATGAATTGAAATACCAATACAAAATACTACTGAGAATCAGAGATTGTCTTCTGGATTGATGAATATGTTAAGCTCTCAAAAAAAAAAACATTAACTGTGAAAATGATTTTATGGATTTCATGGAGGGAATTTTCGGTCAGAAAAGTAGGCCTAGGTCATTTTCGCATGAATTTTCTTGGAGAGAAATGTGTCTATTTTAAAAGTAAGAATAATGTACCTTATATTTCTATGGACTCAAAGATATTCTAAGACAAATGGTATATTTATGTCGTCTGCTAGAATGTAGTCCAATGAATGAAGTCACATGATTCCCACACAAAGTGGGCCATATTCTTATGTAGTTTCAGCAATAAATCACGCTACGTATCTTATTTTGTCAGTCACTATTTTTTTTAAAATCGTGATTCTTTGAAGAACTTGTCACTAGTTATAATGAATTGATATCAAAGATAAATACTAAGAGAAGTTAATTATACCACCCGGTATCCATACAACGTGTTTTTTTCGATTTATTTATAGATCAAACATTGTACATGAAAATGGGTGACGCATTCTGTGGCCGTTGCCGAGTTGGTTGCTCATGAAATATGGGTCAAAGTGAAGGATTGATAAAGAAAATCGAAACAAACCAATTATTATTATTTTGTAGAATATCCGAGGAAGCATCTTAGACTTAAAAAAATTTGGTGTTGAATCCTTATATCCACGAAAATAGGTTACACCACTGTACTAGTTATATTATATACCTCTTATATGCTCTTTTCTTAATCATGCTTTACCCATCCCAATAATGTAACCTGAAATATTAATTCCCAAATGGTGCTCTGTGTCAGTGTGGGGTCTCGGTGTAGTCACATTTGGCAATTCTCTGCACTGCTGAAGATGAATTCTTAATCATAGCTAGTAGTAATTAGTAGCTAAAGATGCCTTGGTTGAATATATATATTTTTTTAAATACAGGCAAAGTAGTAGATAAAAGATCAATATGGCGATTATCTATAATTCCAGAGTTTTTCTGGGGAATAATCAACTTTATAGTTTTATTGTAAGTACACAAGTTTCTTGAAATTTTTTCAATTGATGAGAATGGAAGACATTGTTAAATGGCTGGACAGTCTTACTGTTACTTTTATTGAATATTATAGAGAACAGATTGAGAATATATAAGCTAGTCATTTTTTTTCAATATTTTTTTCAGTTTCCAAACCATGTATGATGTAAGTACAAATTCATTTTAGTTTCTGTTTTTTAAGATACAGCAGCAGTCATAGGATCAAATATTTTTTCACAGCTACTTAATATGACAGTTTTACTGATTTGCAATACATTAAATACTTTTTTTTTGTAGTAATAAAAGTAAATTTATATATAAAGTATAGTTATGGTATAAACTAAAATAAATAAATGAAAAAAAGTTAAATAACAATATTAATTCTGGAAAGATGTGAATTAGAATGACTTATATTGTACACATTTTTTGGTACCTCTTAAATTGTGTTGTTGTATTTACAGCCTGGTAAAACTAAAGCAGGAAATGGTTATACCTCAGATTATAGAAAACCTGGTGGTGGTGGGTAAGTATATTGTCTAGAATCTATATAGTATATATAAATAGCAATCTACATTTACAGTTGATACTATATCATTGACAGTGGAATAGCTCAGTCTGTAGCAAGTTGGATTGTAAACTGCTAGGCAAGAGTCTGAATCTTCCTCTAAAAGAGTCCTGAGGCCAGTGCTTCTGAAATTTGGCCAGGTGAAATCTTGTGAAATATTTATTTCTACTGATTGTGGTACTGATTCTGGTAAGTTTTGACTATGTATATATATGTAACATTGAACAATTTCAGACCACCTGGTGGACCTAGGAGAAGAATGGGTGGATTTAGAGGTGGTGGAGGTAGGTGATTTATTTTCTAGTATAAGTTGTAAACTGCAATCTCCCCTGTTCATCTGTCAGCATTTCTTGGTTGACAAGAGAGATATTTAACCGTTTTTAATTAGTATAGATTGATGATGTATCAAACTATTGTGATGAAAAAGATATGTAATATTGATATTAATGCTCTTTCAGTCATAAGATAAATTACTATTTCTTTTGTGATGCTGTGAGTGTATTTTAAAAGTTATTCCAAATCTAGATTCAGTAAAAATTGAAATTCTAAAAATGTGACATTGCCACGCGATTACAATTTTGTATGCTTTGGAATCCTTTTGAAATCTGCAATGCATAATTGATATTTGAAACTTGATATTTATGTTATAATGTGATATCGTATGTTAAATATTTCAGGTGCTCCCGATGCTCCACCCATGGCAGGAGGAGGGTGAGGAAGGTAAAGACTTACAGTTGATACATTAGATATCCTGTAAGTCTGTCTGGTACCAAAGTGGCAGATCATACCAATATTCAATATCATCCCCTTTCATATTATTCAATATTTATGTAACAGTGTAACAAATATGAAAGTCATGACCATGCAATCCTTGCATAATGATGATTGCCGAATTAAAAGAATTATAACATAAGAAATTTTGAAACATTTTATGTGTATTAAGGTGATTTATGGCTTCTATTTGCATCATTCCAATTTTCAGTCAGAAGTCTGTTGTTTTTGCAATTCCACTGAAATGTTGTGTTCCTGTTACACATACGTTGAAAAATGTCTTTACAATCCATTTAAGATTTATTTAATTTTTTTATCTCATCAAGATTCATATTATATCTATCATGATTTCAATCCCTTCTTTTTTATCATAGTTATCATTCTGTGAAAGATTTGGTTTTATATCATGACTTTTTGTTTTGATCTGCCACCCCCTTCAAATATCTTGAGTTATGTCTTATAACAAACAGTATGATAGGTTGACTTGAAACTTCCAATGGAAGAGAGAAAACCTTGAAGTCAAGATATTTTGAAGTATTTTTTCACTAACTCTGTGATATATTCTTGTTTAGTTTGCTTTTCATGGTCTTGTTATAGCCTTAAGCTGTCTTGTATTACTATATGGATATAATATTAATAATGGTCCAAATAAAAATCAGAAAATACTTTTCGTTATCCATTTTGAAACTATTGGAGATGAATTTGATAAATTAAGGCAAGCAACATAGTATAGACCATTATCTGTATGAATTTCAATAATATTCGTTCAAATTTGTTCATGTTGAGATTTTTGACCATAGAAGAAATGAAAATGTAATGATTTATTCATTTGATATTTAGAGATGTAAATATATATTTTAAAAAATGAGTAATTAAGCAAATTAACCTTTCTTTTCTTATATACTAACATAATAGTAATTATTTTTTGTTGACGCAAAATCTGAACACTATAAATGAACACTTCCAGAGATTTGTTTTGTTTAACTTTCTGTATAAGGAAATCCAGTTTTTAATTATTTGTTTTTGTCAACATTTAATGCTTGATTATTGGACATTCATATATGTTGCCCATGAATTTCATGGTG